ATAAAAAAAAAACCGGTCCGCGGTTCGCGTGGAAATTTCAGCGCGTGACTGCGGACACTTTCAGGCCACGCAGCGGGTGTCGAAAGACTATAATCGGCTTTAGTTAACGCGCCGGTTTCACCGTGCGCGGGCGTTCCGCGTCGCCAGGGGAAACCGTGTCGACTGCGCCCGGTATATACACGAGTGTCGGTTACTTTGATCACAAAGGAATCGGCCCCGATACCGAACCGTCGTCGAAATTGATAGTTAACCGATCGCGCGCGCGCAACCGACAGGGATTCTTGATTCGTGCCCGCGGACGCGGCAGCTAATCTCTTCGGAATTCCGATCTAAAACGGAATCGAATTCGCGGTAATCTCTCCGCGGCGAACGGAAGGAAGAATTAGCGGCTGTACATAATGAAGCGTCCCCGTAGTTCCGCGCTCCGACCAGTTCAACCGTCCGCGTTCGTCATTTAAACGCGTCGAATGCCTCGAGTCCCACGCTCCGCGTATCAACGCGCCGCGAGTAGAATTTCATGGTGAATACTCTATAATCGATGGAAACAGATCGATCGAACACTGGATAGATCTGTCAAGATGTTCGATGGATGAGGAGAGATACTCGATGACCTTTGGGTTTGTTTTAACGATTGATATCTTAAATATCTTGATATCTTAAAAGCATTGAGTATTCGGAATGATTTTGAAAATAGCTTTGTCTTGAATACTATAATGAATGTCTGAAGAAACCGAGAATAATCTATTACTACAATATTCATAGCGATTGCATTTCAGTCGTATCGAATCCTCGGTAGTTCTAAAATTCTTCGATCTTCCACACGTCCAAATTTTCTATCGAGAAGGAAAATAGATCGAAGGAATATTAAAGCATTTATCATTTTCACTAGAGATACTATAAAAATTAGTTGCTGATAGATTACAAAACCACCTGGTTTCGATTGTTTTCGCAATGATTGATATCTTAAAAGCATTGAGTATTCGAAATGATTTTGAAAATAGTTTCATTTGAATACTATAACGAATGTCTGAAGAAACTGAGAATAATCTATTACTACAATATTCATAGCGATTGCTTTTCAATCGTATCGAATGCTCGATAGTTCTAGTGTTAATGAATCAAAGGAACTACCCTAAAATTAATCGATCTTCCACAGATCCAAATTCTCTACTGAGAAGGAAAATAGATCGAAGGAATGTTATAGCATTTGTCACTTTCACTAGAGATAGTATAAAAATTAGTTGCTGATAGATTACAAAACCAACTGGAGTGCTAAGGGTTAACCCTTTGCGCTCGAGGGGTGACTCAGTCGCCACTCGATTTGATACAGGAAAACTATGAAGTAGAATATTTAGTATTCGAAATTAAACTTTGCATTACTATGTGAGATATTCAACTAAAACATCTTTGTTGCTTAATTTATCTGTGAATTATCGTTAAATTAGTTTCAAACAATATCACCTATATCTCGTCGAAAAATGTTGAATGTTTCCAGCGACTTTCGAGTGCAAAGGGTTAATATAACGGTACTAGTGATGAGTTTAACTCAGATTACAATTTTCAATAGTTGTTATTACCAATGTTTCATTCGATTCTGGGTAAACAATCGTTTGACGCTATCGATAAGCCAAAGGGAAACACATCATTCTCTCCGCGCGTTGAATATTTACAAGAACGAGATAGCTTTCCTTGCATTTATAGGATTCAGTTGAAATGAAATATAGAATTCGGTCAATAATATCAAAGATTAATTCGCCCCGCATGATACCGCCGACTCTACACGCAATTTAACCTGGACCATTAAACCTATTTGCGCAGCTCCATAGGATAGAGTACGTTCACAGTCGGCACCTGATCTACCGGGACGTCAAACCGGAGAACTTCCTGATCGGACGGTGCACAACAAAACGGGAGAAGATCGTTCACATCATTGACTTCGGACTGGCCAAAGAGTACATAGACCTGGAGACGAACAAACACATACCCTATCGGGAACACAAAAGCCTGACGGGGACGGCGCGCTACATGAGCATCAACACACACCTCGGAAAAGGTAATTGTCATTCGAGATCATAGATACATCGTGATCTTCGCTGTCTTTAACCCTTTGCTCTCCAAATTTCTTTCTTTCTTGATAACTGTATTTTTGGAATGTGTGATTTCAAATGTATTTTTCAAAATAACCCTTTTTATTACATCGAGATCTTCGCAGTCTTTAACCCTTTGCTCTCTAAATTTCTGTTCTTTCTAAATTCTTTGCTCTCAGAATTTCTTTCGCATTTCTTTCTTGATAACTATTATTGGAATGCTTGATTTCAAATGTATTTTGAAAAATAGTTAATTTGTATAGAGCAGTATAAATAATTCTTTTTGTTACATCGAGATTTTCGCAGTCTTTAACCCTGTGAACTTCATTTCTTTTGCATTTCTTTCTTAATAACTATATTATTGGAATGCTTGACTTTAAATGCATTTTGAACAATAGTTTGCATAGAACAGTGTAATCAATCCTTTTTACTAATAATATTGAAAATAACAGTAATATAATGTATTTGAAAAATACCTCGACAAAGAAGCACACTTGTGAATAAAACTGTCGAGTCATAGGACACTCGACATAGGAGCGCAAAGGGTTAACCCACAAAAATACATCGCTGATATTAATTTAACCTTTAATAATAAGTATCATACATGTAACGTCAACTATCGATGACAAAGAAAGAAAAAATTCTGAAGATTGTTGAAATTCTTAACTAATACGTAAATGAATTTTCAACTAAATGGCACCTCATTCCATCCCTCAAACAAATTGAAAAAGCAACGCATCTGACGTGTACACACACGTTACCAGCGTCCGCGTGTTAAGTACTTTTGCTTTCGTCTCGTTTTAAACACTGTCCTATCGACCTGTCTCCGCGAGCCCCGAGCGTTGCGCCTAAAGGGCTTGGTGCATAAAGCGGCCCTACGTGACACAGGGTTTTCTAGGTCACGAAAATGACGCATGCACGTGAGCCGTTCCAAAGGTAGTGAATAAACAGTGGATCCGCATTGATGGTGAACGTCGAATGGAGTTCCATAGACGAAACAAGCGTGTCAATTCCTTCGGAGACTAATGTATATTGCATTTCCAAATTTAACTAATTGAAATTCTTCCTTAACGAGAACGTTTTCCGAGGTAGCAAACGTTTGCTTAACCCTTTGCCCTACAATATGTCAAACTCGTGAAGGTTTCAAATAGAAAAGATTTCAAATGACCTTTGATTATATTCAATTAATAATTCAAATTGTACCTTACAACTCACGTTAACATAGAATAACACTGGAATTTTCTATTTTCAATAAATCATCGATAACACTTGGATCGATCACAGTTCAAAAAGAAGTCACAGGACAAGGGGTTAATTCTTTCCATGGTTCAGTCTTCAAGAAAATGAATTTCCACGTTAGAATAAATAATACGGGAATATTACTTGGGAATAATTCCTTCAGGGATCGATTCGGATGTCTCGTATTCCTCGGATACGAGTGGCAGGAGTATCCATCCTCTAAGATGTTTCCCCAGACGATTATAGCCGAGCGTCCAGCCCTCGTCACGCTGCATTAGCTCCTAAACGAGATTTTACCTTACATTTTCCACGTATCGACACGTTCGAGAATAGTGCACTCGAGAGCCCACGAAACGATGGAGATGTTTCTCTCATTCGTCGAACCATCCGGTGCTCATTTTCTCGGTTGCAACCTGTCACAGCGCATCGGCTGCGAGTTTCGAGCTTCAAAGGGAATCGCGATGGACCCTCCTCGGCTCCTTTTGCTCCTCATTAGCGATAATTAAGAATTATTTAACAAGACACCACTTTCGTACGGCTGAAAACGCTGGAAAGCCAGCGGAGCTAATAAATGTTCCGGAGGTCTACATCTCTTCGAACAACTTGTTCCAAAGGCCCCGGCGAATATCTCTATCCCCACAAGCAAGAAATCTCCGCGTTAGAACTTTGAAAGTGCCGTACATTTCCTTCCTCTATCGACGTATCTAAATTATATTCAGAGTTCTAATTAAAGCCTGTAGGATTGTGAATAAAACTGCCGGTACAGGTTAGTTTCCTTATCAAATTATTCGACGAGAGAATTATCACACTGGTATCAATGTTAAAGCTATGTCCACTTTGACATGGAACTGATAAATATTCATTATTAACCCTTTACTCCGAAGTTTTTCACTAGAAATATTTCAACATTTTCTGATGACATGAAATCGATATTTTGTGAAACTCGACGAGAAATTCACTGAATCGACGGACAAAGCTATTTTACGTCAATATTTCTCAGATTGATGCATTGTATGAAGTATTATATTAAATATCAAACTTTATAGCTTCACTGTAGGAAATCAAGTGGTGACCGAGAGTGCAAAGGGTTAAATGCATCCTTGATATCAGTTTAACCTTTAACACGTGCACTGCAGGTGACATTTAATTTTTATTTCTCGAGAAGGTTCAAAAATGTCTCAGAAAGCGTTGAAGATTTCTAGCGAAGAACTTTGAACAAAGGGTCAACCCTTTGCACTCGAGAGGTGACTGTCAGTCACTGATTTGACGCAGTAAAGTTGGAAAATTTAATATTTAATATTGAACAATGTATAATGCCGGTGCGCGAATTAAATAAAGAAGCTTTGTTTCTCAATTTACCTGTGATTTCTCTTCGAGTTAGTTTCATAAACTGTTGTCCTTATCCCATTAGGAAATCTTGAAATATTTTTAGTGAATTCCAAGTGCAAAAGGTTAAAAATTTCAGTCTACGATGGGTTCAATTAATTCGATAACAACGTGTAGCGATAATTAACTACGAAAGTATGTGACTATTCAGTAAACTCATTTAAAAAAAACCATCGTCTTCGTCTAGTTATAAAACATTAAATTGCTAACGAAATACTTCCGAGTGCAAAGGGTTAATAAATAAAAAGTGTTTCAACCCTTTCAATGCCGGACGACACATCGTCGTTCCCGTCGCACTGCGGGAGAACTCTCCCAAAATAAATTCATAAAACGTAAATTTCATTGCAAGAATTCTTTCTGAATTATGTAAATATTTTTAGTTTGGTTTCCACGAGCTTTCCCAAACCGTAGTAAATTCGTCCGGTTACCTTCGCCCGGCATTAGAAGGGTTAAATAACATCATTTCGCCAGCGAATATTGCAATTCTATAAATGTTGCCGGCCGATCGACGCTAGAGAAAGTTGCCAGCAGCGCGCGCTCGTCGCCGTGCCTGTCGGCTGCAATTCGCTGACCGGCTAGTGTTTCTCCTCCGGTAATTCAATCGGCGGTGAATTATTGCGCCGGCAGGACGCATAAAACCGGGAAGCACGGTCGGGGTCTATTAGCGCCGTCGTCCCCGACGCCGCCGGTTGATCAAGGGCGGAAAAATTCCACGCGTCCTGCGCGAAAATGCGCCGGCGGCCCACGTGTCTCTCCGTTTCCCGCGGAATGCTTAACGGTTCCTTTCGTTCGGCGTCGCGTGTGAATTACGGTGGTTACCGGGCCGCGCGGCTTCGCGTGGGTTCCTGGTTTCGCCGACGTTGGAACAATGAGTGTTTCCCTGATGGATCTCGGGAGATTCCTCGAAACGAAGTGATTGTTGTAGGAAGCGGAGGACGGAGGACGGTGGAGATTAACCCTTAACACTGGAACTACCGTACCAGAAGGAATGACTGGTTTCGATTTTCTTATTTCGCAATTATTGATGTTTTCAAACCATTATTCGAAATGATCTTGAAAATGAATAGTTTCATTTCAGTACTATGAGTGCCTGAAGGAACTGAAAATCTTGAAAATAAATAGTTTCACTCGAATATTATAACGAATGTCTGAAGAAACTGGAAACACTATTGCCGCCATTTTTGTAAAGATTACGTACCAGTATTAAATACTCGGTAGTTCTAGTGTTGAATCACATTTTGAAACCGTTTAGTGTTAATTTTAAAGTACATAGGAAATTTGTTTTATCTACTAAACCGGTTTAACGAAATAACGAGAAATCTCGTTTTCATATAAGAACACTCAGCTATGCAACTTCGCTAATTACCACAGCATTGGGAAAAATGTAAAATTTGATTCGAATTGATTATCTATTTGAAATATATTATATAAGAATATGATATCTGAGTTTTCCTATGTATAGTGATATAAGTTCACCTCTAACATAAAAATGATATAAGTTCATTTCTAACTTACGGAAGGGAATAAGCAATTCGAGTTTGTAAATTTTACTTTGGATTTGTTATACATATCTAAAATGTTACGTGAACGTAGGATTAGCAATTAAATGATAGACTAAAAATCCTGCACTATCACGGCGGTCAATGCGTTAACACGTTAAGTGCCATGTCAGTCATGCAAGGTAATTGATGTCGAATCAAAATGTTTAATAACGCAAGTAAGTTGATAGTAATGCAAAGATTGCAACGCTAAATAGTGAATAATTGTCTTTACTTTTCTTTGCTGAAAAGAATGACTGTATAGAAAAATGGTCAAGATTTTGGTGATTTCGGTGATACTTTGCTAATGCACTGTATTGATTTTATTAATGAAATATTAAGTTACTGTAGTAACTTTAATGAACGTTATCCTGCGAGTCACAGATGTTCGTTAATTTCATTGTGAAGCTATAGTAACTATGTAAAATAGAGGTCGTCTGGTTCTAATGACCTTGCAGTGTTGCGAAGGTCAGTGACCTTGAGTAATCTGAGTGTACGGTGTAACAGTTAGGTTACTGGAAGTCAGTGAGACGTGCCCTATTGTATACAATTACCGTAATAGCTTTATCAAGCAGAATACTATCCTTTTATGTTAACCATAAACACATAGGCAGTAATAAATAAATTTCTTAAATACCCTATATAAAATTGACACGTTTGTAATCGTGCAATCGATTAGTCTAAAGGAGCACTCTACTCTTCTACGGTTAATAATTGTAAAAATAATTGGTTCACCTTCCGTTGTCTTTATTCACGATAGCAACGGTTTCCCAGATGCAAAAATATGCGTGTGTATTGTTCAGTTGGTAAACATCTCGAAGCATCCTGCTCGAGGCCCGAAGTAGAACGATGTCTGAAATACGAGAGCCAATCGCAGCGAGGTATTACCAGACTGCACCGCTAGCCCGAGCAATGCCATCGCGGACGTCTATGCTAACTACTCATCAAAACAATTAGAGCGTCACGTTAATGTATACATATTCCCGCGGAACAGGAATTAACTGTCGGAGATAATCTAATCGATCTTCTTTCCGGCACAGAAACCGTTCGTATCAGCTGCCCATCTTACAGCGGTAATAATTACATAATTTAACGAACGCTTAGGAAGGTCCGTCGACGATGGTAATTACCCGGAGTGACTAGAAATGAATGAAACTGAGCTCAACGTTACTCAACGACCTATTGAGACATCTATCAAAGACACTTCAACTCGACGCAACATACCATTCGCAAATCAACTGCTCTTCATTGAACTCTGCGTTCGAAAGTTTCTTGTAAAAAAGCATTCGATACTTTCTAAGGAAATAGACGACGTTAACTTATCCATCGACCACGTGAATTGATCTATTCTACATCGATACTTCATATTCTCACTGTCAAACTAAACGCAGAGCCAACTTATCAAGAATGTTGCAATTGAATTTTACGAATTATTAATAGAGTTTTATTCGCTTGATAATTGCGATTATCAACGATTCATCGGAAACAATCCTTGATAACGGAATAACCTGTAATTCGCATTCAAACGAATCATAATTATTTGCACAACGTTCTTTATACAGTTCTATTTACAATTATTTACAAATGTTGCACAATGTAGTCTTTGTTTACTCTGACCAACTCCTTAGCGACCAGTTTATTTCAACCGCCTTCGGATCCTAAGGGTTGGTTCAGCCGTGCGTGCTGGAGGGACGTTTACAGAGGGTTAAATACATATATTTATTCCTAGTTCTCGATCACTCGAGATCCACTCTTTCACTGTCTATAATAGTAACCACTATAATATTCACGTTCGTTGCGCCTGACGCGATATTGCAGGGTTAACCGCGCGATGACTAACACGAATGATTCTTTTCCCGGTAACCAGAGCAGAGCAGAAGAGACGACCTGGAGGCGTTGGGTCACATGTTCATGTACTTCCTGCGCGGCAGCCTGCCGTGGCAGGGGCTGAAAGCCGACACGCTGAAGGAGCGGTACCAGAAGATCGGCGAGACGAAGCGGAACACGCCGATCGAAGTGCTTTGCGACGGCCACCCGGAAGAGATGGCGACGTACCTGCGGTACGTCCGCAGACTGGACTTCTTCGAGACACCGGACTACGAGTACCTGAGGAACCTGTTCCAGGGCCTCTACGAGAAGCGCGGCTTCGTGAACGACGGCGAGTTCGATTGGACTGGCAAGACGATGGTACGTGATTGATCCGTTCACCCTGTTATCCGCCCTCTGAATATAGATCACTTTTTATTTTCCACCTACCAACACTATAACCACCACCACCATCACCACCACAACCATCACCAAGCCCTGGCAATTGCATGCAAGAACGGAAGAAAGAATGGTCGTGGTGCTCGTTTTATTGGCCCCGGGGGACCGAATCGCAAGAGTCGATATCGAGGGCGGAACGGGGGATGTTTCGGAGTTGTGTCGATGGATTTTCGGTTCGATATGTACCATTCGTGTCGAGAGTCTTGTCGGGAAATTAAACGATCTTGATGACGAACGATTGTCTTTCAATAGCAGCGTCGCTTGGATTGCGCTGATGCTGAGGCTGATGTTCAGGTCGATTTTTCAGAATTCTGTTCGAGTTCGGGACTGTTTTTGATCTTGAGGAATAGATCAGGGTTTTTAACGCGTTCCTGAATTTTCCGTTCTGATCGAAAATGAATTCTCATTGAAAAACGAAGAATTCAAAATTTATTGTGTCAAAGATAGGTGTTTTAATGTTATGTATACTGCGGTTAATTTTAATCGTAAAAATGTGGGTCGTATACGCCCCATACGGAACGTGTTAATGGCTTCGTTGATTTTATATAGAGATCTCGGAATGTTTGAGGAGATTGCGATCAATATAAAGAGTTTGAGCGATGGCTAGAGTTGATGATAGCTAGATTAGGGTATTGCTAATGCAATGAACTATAGAACTGGTGTCGTTCATTGAATTGATCAGTGAAAATCGACTGGCAACCATCAGCATCAGTAACAGCGCAGTCCCCAAACAGTATCGCGTTCATTCCGTCGTTTTCTTTCGATGATTACCGATGAAACTCCGAGGTATCGTCTCTTCGGGGTAAGTAAGCCGCCCTGAGTGTTCCCACCGACGTGTTCACCCGCCGTGGCCCCTGGTAAAACCGTATTTCACTGATTTTTAACGTTTGCATGCTGCCCCCAATCTATCTCTAGCCATCCAACTTCGAGCAACTAAAACGCCTGCGGAACGCGCCTCCCTCTCACGTGGAGAAAACGAAATCCGACAAGGTGGGTGACGTTGAACGGGCCATCGCGTTCGTTGCCTTCCGGCAAATCGAATTTCCATCAGCCGATAGTCAATCGGACGATCGGATCCCAACGCGCAAGATTGCCGCGTCGAACCGTACACCCGCTAGAAGAGCCGACCTTAATTAATGCATTCATGTCCAACCTGCGGTGATTAATATTGGGACAAGACTATACAGCTCCAACCGTTCGGGAACGAGTGCCGTTTCAATGGAATTCAATATTTTAATCACTCGAACAATTTCGTATTTCGCGCGACGATTATACATTGAATATTCTCAATGTTTCATTGCTACAACCGATTAATCAAACGTTCGAATTATTCAACGGATCACCGCTATCTTCTCTAGCATTCGACGCTAGAGTTACCGACTAGCCGAACCGATTATTTACAGTTTTATTGTACAAATTATAAGATTATTGAAAATGATTAACTTACCATAGTTTACCTGTTACTGTATCAATCTATTAAATTACTTCGAGAAACATTTTCATCTTTCAATAATTGTAACGAGAACTTAAAATTGATTTTGACCTGTCAGGTAGTTCCAACGTTAACAGTTCGATATAATTTATTAAAGCTTCTCAACACTTCAAAACCATTAGCATAAGTCTTCCAGACGCATTACATGTACAGCTACTGCGAATTTGCCCGAGAAAAGCGGAAAATCGCGGGAACTCTTGCGAACGCTCGTTACGCGCGATCGAGGGCAATGTTTTCTTTTTTTCAACATGGCCAATACAAGCTAAAAGGTTGGACATCCATGCCGTAAAGTACACGGAAGGTTACTGGGAGCTTGCCGACCTTTATTGCACCCAGCGCAGCGATCTTGGCGTCTCTATCGAAGAGATACACGCCGCTGCTTCTTCCTCTCCTCTTCTGTTCACACATTCGCAGCCAGTGACGTAATATCTGTAGCTATAAGACACATAAAGGAACGGTGTAAGTTACATTTCCAAGAAATTCGAGCCCCGGTGTTTATGGAGACGGAGGATGGGCGCCGCGACGTAGAAGAAAGAGAATGTATTCGGGAAACACTTTCCCGTCGAACTAAGAATACATTCGCTTCACTCGTGAACATCTCGATTACTGTCACATCGGAAGATCATTCGGTAGCGAATTGCTAATAATCAGTAAACCTCTGACGGTTTGAAGAAGAAATTTCTGTAGCGAATTGCTGATAATCAGAGAACCTCTGACGGTTGCGTTGAAGAAATAGCGAAACGGTGTTGCGTCACTTGGGAATTAGTTTACTTGTTCGTAGCTGGTTGTTGGCTTAGCATTGCTTTTCACGTCGCCTCCATGTTAGTTAGCAATGGAACGATCCAATGGACATTTCGTAGCTTGGCCTCGACCCCTTGCCTCGTGTCTTTGCCCCCGAACTCGCGAAAGTCGCTTCGTTACCGATTCCTCGGGAACGACGCTCCATTTATCACGGAACGGTCGTTCGTAAGAGAACACTTTGCTTCGATCCAACGTCACATCCGCGTTTTTTCAACGCGAAATCCTCGACCGTCACGAGGCAAGGGTTCGGCAAAAAATGTCTTGCACGCGACGTCCACCTTTAGAACAGCTCAGCGTAGATAGCGGATACGTTAAGGTGTGCAACTTTGTATCGACACCGGCGTGATAGAAGGTCCCTTGGCCGCGGAGACGTCGAAGATCCCGTCGAGATTCCATTTGAATAAGTGGAGAGCGTTTATTTGCAGCGCGGAGCAAGTGTCGCTCGCCGATGCTCGGGAAACGCGTTTCGATCTTGCCGATCTTCGACGTGTCCGAATACGTTAACACTTTGATTGCTGAGCAGGCACTCGTCGAAATTTACGCGCATCGGGACGGTTTCCTTGATAAAGGAAAACTAATTAAAACAATGTATTCAAGATTATTATTATTATTATCTTATGTTTCTTGTATCTTACATATCGAACAAAATTCGAAGTTTATTAACCCTTCGCTTTCTGAATATTAGCGACATTTCTCGCAACTAACACAATTGGTTATTTTGTATAGATTCAGAGACAGAACTATTTGACTTCGTTTTATGTGTTGATACATTACGCAAGGTTTGATGTTGAATTGAAAATTTTATAAGTTTGCTCTGACGACTGTAAGGCGCCCCTCGAGTGCAGAGGGTTAAACAACGGTGTCAACCGAATTTCACGTGGCAGTCAAAGTGTTAACGCGTTGACGGTGTGCACCACTGATGGCTGGCACCTCGACGTCACGTTGAGCAGTGTGTACCATTAACCCTTTGCGGGCGGATGCCGATGAGATCTCATTTCGATGAGATGAAATGTTCAGATTTCGAAGACCGTTCTCTTTATTTCTATCAATCAAGCAACTGATGTATAATTTAGCTTCGTATGTTGAAGATTTTGTACGTTTCGAAGAATCTTCGTCCGCAAAGGGTTGAATACGTAGCTGGTTGTGTTTGGTAGATAGAAGCAGTCATGTCACGTAGAAATTAATTCACTTATTGATCATTTCAGTGGTTACAATGTTAAGAATGCCCGAGACTTTGGCAAGAACGTAAATGAACGCGTTAAAACCGTAGCTTCGATTCTAACGGCTAAACCGATCGTTGCTTCTTTCCCTTTCTCCGTTGAGCGCTCGGATCACGCTTCGAAGCAACCGAACCCAGGCTTCACGAGCACTCCAATTTCGATCGAGTTAATTGGACGCTTTCTTTTCGCAGACCGATATTAATCGTACCGTGCCGTAGGTGTAACGTGATTAATCCGTTCACTTAGACCGTTCTATGCTGAGGCCCCGTACGCGTTGAGGCTCGCAGCGATGGGTTTGGGTCTTTCCAGGTTTCGAGCAAAAATCAAAAACTCGAATTCCATGTGCCTGTCGCGTGTTTCGACGTGTATCGTTCAGGATCGCGAATCCTTAACCCCTTGCCTTTGATAACTATCGATACAACTACTCGATCGTGAATAATTTATTCGCAAAAGAAACAAATGTCATGCTTAATCTACTTTTAATCTTGACAGTAGAAAAGTAATATTTAATTTATATTCAGAAACAGTAACACTTAGATCTCTGAAATTCAGTTTAAAATTTTCATCACTTGATGGTGTAGGTTAAGGGGTTAATGACGAGAGCCATAGATCATTTTGCTACTTCCATTCAATTTGAAGAGCAATGTACAATAAGCCTGTGCTGACTACAGTTGGATGACTTGATGTCTAAGTGAGACGATGCCAAAGTGTTTCTAAATTATTGAAAGTATCAAGCGATCTTGTTAATCTATTAGAAAATAAAACTAATAGAAAATTCAACAAGGAAAGATGGAAACTTGTCAGCCTAGTCATCGAGTGATCTAAGCAAGAGGCAGTGTACAATAAGCCTGTGCTGACTACAGTTAGATGACTCGATGTCTAAGTGAGACGATGCCAAAGTGTTTCTAAATTATTGAAAATAAAACATAAAAAAAATTAGAAAATAAAACTAATAGAAAATTCAACAAGGAAAGATGGAAACTTGTCAGCCTAGTCATCGAGTGATCTCCAAGGCAATGTCCAACTCGCGATCGGTTCTGTAGCAATAGCAAAGCGACGCCTGGGTTTCCTGATTGTTGTTAGTCGAATCGCGTAATAATGCAAAAGAAACGATATGTAAATAAGACAATGACACCCGTGTCGATACTCAATCGTGATTGGCCGTACATGCGAGAGTGATCAAGGATTCAGCTTTTAAAGCTCAAGTTCTGAAGGCTCGAATCGCGGCTGCAACTTTCAAGGCTCGTGACTCAGAACTGATTTTTGCAACACTGTTCTACCATACACCGTAGAACAACAACATCGGCCCACGTCCAAGAGCGCGAATCGGTCTCAATATAACGTGTTCCCTTCTGATTTTCAGTCGACGCCCGTCGGATCGCTGCAGACCGGACAGGAGATCATCGTGTCGCCGAACCGCGATCGGCACCCGTACAAGGTAACACGACCCGCCCTTCGACCCCGTTTCTTTTCTTCTCGTGCCACGTTACGAATTCTTCTTTCATTTTATTTTTTCTGAACAGAGCATGGATGTGTGAAGCTTTTATTTTTGAGACTTACTTCAAATAACCGCATGACTTCTACACGTACAATGCAAAGCCGGTACACGGGGATGTTTTTTGAGTCTCGTCATCGTCGCGTTCTCCGTCTCTTTTGATTGTTCCCGCGAGACGATTCGCGCCGCGGAAAAACCGGTCGGGCCTTCCGTTCCGTCGATCGAACCAGAGACACATGAATAAACGATTTTGTTTCTTTGCGAAACGCTCGGTGTGTAGGAATGCGATGATTTTGAGGAAGATGTAGTCCTCATGTTGGATGAGGTTCACATCGAAATGCAGGGCAACTATGTAAGCCACCAAAGTTTTCTGTATCACGCTGGTCCACGGTTCTTCGTCCATAGTTTCCGCGCTGTTCTCCGCCCTCTTCACGCTGGAACTACTGAACCGGTCAAATCGATCCGTTATCGAATTCTCGTTATCCTCTCGTAACGAATGCTTTGAGAAATTACCGGAAACGACTCGCGATACGCAAACTGAATCAGTTGGAATCTAGCTGCATTCTCGTTGTTCCAAATAAAGAACAATCGACATCTCGATCTGTAGTTCTAGCTTTAATCCTTTCGAACGAACTCCTTGCCTCGCAGTGCGACTTCAGGGTTGGGCTTCCTCCTCCAAGGTTTCCATCGACGTCGATCGAATTCAGCTTCCCTCGCGGGCGAAAATGAAACAATAACTTTCTCTCATTTAATCAGTGTTTCATCGGTGAAAGTACACGGTTCCCTGAGCAACCACGTGGCGAGGAGTTCAGAGTCAATGGAAACTCAGGAAAACACGAGAACCCGGAACGCACGATGCACGAAGAATCGTCGTAGAAACAGTATTTAAACGTCCCGTTGGCAGTCCTCTAGTTTATCTGTCACGTTTCACAGTACGTTTACAGTAGCTAGCCGTAGCCCATCGAAACCTAGACGTTCCGTTGAAGTTCAGTTCATTAGCATTTGAGAACGAGTAGCTAAACGTTTCAAAGAACTTGAAGCTCACACGATCGAACGCGTCCGACGAGTTACACGCGTTAAACGAAATCTAAGACGACACGGTCACTTAATGATTTTTCTCGTGTTTTTTTTTCTCTCCTGTTCTCTGTCTTTCTCTGTTTCTTTCTCTCTGTCTATCTCTATCTCTCTTGTATTAACGCGTTGAAATTTCGACAATTCTCGTGCTTGTTCCTTTAGGATGTGACAGCACCAGGGGTGGGAGGCGGGGGCGGTAAAGGGG